TCATTTGTTCTGATATCTACTTTTTTCTGTTTCTTGTTCTTTGGCAATCTTTTTCCATATTCTTCCTTAATAATTTTAAAATTTTCATTCCACAGTTCCTATGGTTCTCTATTTGACAAAGCTCAGAACTTCAAAACAATTCCCAATGTTCTCTTTGAAAATTGTGGTTATATGTTCAAAATCGTATCATAGAAACTGGTTACTTCTGTTCTCCCACTTTGAGTCTGACTCTCACTTTGACAATCTTGACTTGGAATGTGAACATAAGGAGTTTGTAAGCTTTTTATAAGCTGTCCCACAGACATCTCCTCGCTATTACAGCTGAGCTATTCTACTTCCTTGTACCAACACTATATTCAATTTGATTTCTATGTACTCCATCTGGTAATATCCAGATACATAGATATTGTTTGGCCTCTTTGAACGTGCTGTAGTGTCTGCAATAAATAAATCATTGGATTTGCAAAAACTGATACATCATGCTCTGCTTCAGTTATATTTCGATAAATATACAGATGGCTTAACTTGTCTCCATTTTAAAAAAAATATTCTTAGGACTTTCAAAGGAATAGCAATATTAGTCCACTAAACAGCAATTAAATTAGTAATACCCCCAGAAAACCCCCAGAAATATAAATACAGTAGGATTATGCCTTCGTCATCCATAATTTGCCGCACCAAGTTTATACATCAAAATATAAAATCATACTTTTATACAAGTTTTTATTTTAGTATTGGTTATTGGGTAATTCCAATGAGTGCCAACAATACATATAACTTAATTCCACAATTAAATAACACTACAAAAGTGGAAACAATCGCATACAGCTATATTTTCCTCACTGAACAAAATGTTTAAAATCTGTTTCAAAGTTATAAAAGTATGTATTTGACATCTCAGTGAGTTGTGATTGGTCAAGTTCATGTGACAAAACCGACTTCTGATCCTTGGATCTGAGTTTGGAGAATGTAACAATTTACTAATTTACTAATAATTTGCTAATACTAAAATAGAAATTGGTGATCCATTCTTTCAAAAACACATTGAAAAACAACATAGAATTGTAACACTGGACAAAGCCTATAATGGCTCAGGAGAAAGAATAGAGCAATAGTGGAACAGTGGCTAGAATGCAGTACTGCAGGCTACTTCTGCTGACTGCCGGCTGCCGGCAGTTCGATTCTCACTGGCTTAAAGTTGACTCAGCCTTCCATCCTCATGTTGGTAAAATGAGGACCCAGACTGTTGGGGACAACATGCTGACTCTGAGGGCTGTAAAGCACTGTGAAGTGGTATATAAGTCTAAGTGGTATTGCTATTGCTATTTTTGATACCTAGTGAACCCTTTTAAGCGTGGCTAGTAAAATTTAAGTCGAGTAAAATAAGCAGTAAATTAAAAGCCCAATAGTAGTGAGAAATTACTAACTCAGAAATTCTAAACAGAAACAGTAAGTTCAGTGGGATTTATCTCTCAACCAGAATAAGATTGCAGCTTTAAACACTAAAACAAACGATATATTACAACAACAGAGAAAAAAGTTCAAAGAAATACAAAAAGGGGGAAAAATGAACACATTATGCCAGCAATGTAAATCTATAATTAATGTCATATATGCTCCTTCTTTTATTGTTCTGCTATTGCTCTGGATTTATTTTGTTGTAATTTACTTTCCATGTGATCATACAATAAATAGCTTTGGAATGCTACTGAGAAACTTCACTGACATTTCTGCTTTGTAATTTTCCTGGAAATAGAAATAGAAAAATAGAAAATAGAAAAAAGAAATAGATCAGGAAATTTATTCATACTTTTTTCCTTTCAGGAATATGTTCAGTTGATGAGCTGCCAAATTAATAATGAATTTGTTTTTGTAATCTTAAAAATCCTCGTGAGGTACACAATACCAAAATAGCAACAATTAATTTTAACAAGGAATTTTGGCATATTTGAATATAAATAAAAACATCCAAAATGTATTATCAGCAAATTGATGATGTTATACTTCCGTACCATTTATTGTATAAAACTTTAATGTAAACATGCGTTACAATAAAATTTTATCGTGAATGTTTCGTAATAACTCTATTGTTCTATACAACGTTATTTTGACTTTAATGATTGTTCCCTTGTGTAGGACGTTAAAATATTTATTTTTGTCTTGTCTTCAAACCTTTGTTCATTATATTGTTCAAAAGTATGGACTAACTGTTACAACATTGTTCTTACAAAGTATGTGATCTTTCTGAACTATCAAACTCATGTTTATTGCATCTCCAAAGAGAGTGAAAAGTCATATTTGGAAGAATCAGATAAAAGAGGATCCTTACGTTCTCAAATATGAACACTAATAAGGGAGAATATTTGCAGCTCAGGGTTGATATGAGGGGTCCTTGGTGCTCTCTGAGCTTAGTTGTTTTTTTGCAGACGTTTCATTACCCAAACTAGGTAACATCATCAGTGCTAGACCTAGCTTGGGTAATGAAATGTTTGCAAGGAAACAACCAAGCTCAGAGAGCACCATGGACCCCTCAATATGAATACTGTACAAAATAAAGAATTGCACTGAAAAATTAAAATGGTTTCAAATGATATTTGAGCTATCCATTTATATGATTCTTACTGAGCTCAAAACAACTTTGTTCTGAATATACTTTACTCAATCCATAGGAAAACAGAAGAAAGTGCTCTCCATATCCACAACTAGCCTGACTTCTTACTACAACATAAATTGCTTATGCTTCAAGAAACATGTAACTTGCACAGGATAAAAAGATTGGGCAGAAATGTTTATATAAGTACACTTGCAAATGATTGTGCTGTAAAAAACACTATCAGAAACATATTCCAGTGATTTTTATCTGCTTCATTTGACAAAATATATGTCATAAGAACAGAAAGTATCCAAATGTCACAGAATGAAATGGGATTTCTGTCTCTAGGCATTCAGAGCTCTTCAGAGAAGGCCATGGTCTTTGAAATGTTAGCAATGTTAGTAAAAATGATAACATTCATTTTAGTTCTATCCTAATGGGATTAGTGTTATCTGAAATGCAATTTGTATAATTAAGATTATATTAAATATAAATTCATCAGAATAGTTTTTGAATTACATACAAACTTGTATTCAGTTTATTCAACTGTCAATTTTTTTACTTCCTAGACTAAGAGGAAAAATGTGTTTAGATTGCTTTCCCTAATCTGGGCATCTTCTGGTTTTATGAATTTAAATTCTCAGAATTCTGTAGCAAAATAACCATTGCTGAGCATTCTAAGTGTTGAAGTCCACACATCTGCAGTTTACCCAAATCAAACAAGGATGTTCTAGACCAAAAAGCTCTATCTTTGTATGATAAAATTACTTCAGATATTTGAGTAAGCAAAGAGGTGAATGAGCATATATAGACAATCCTTACATCATTAAAAAGCTTATAATTAATGTGCCTTTTTATACTTTATACTGCCTTTTTAGGTTTCTTCAAGATGTTCTCAAGAGCGACTATCAGGTAGCAAGCCATAAACTAATGTAAGCAGTTTAAATGTTAGATTAACAGGTCTGAAGACTCAGTATTACTACAGATTTGAGAACAACATGCCTCCAAATGAATTGTAGGTAAACAATGGCAGGAGAGAGGTATGTCTCTATCTCCTGCCCATAAGCAGCATAGAGACATCTAGTTAGCCACACAGAAAAATAAAAATATGGTGAACCTTAAACTGTTGTCCTTATAAGATGGATAATGGAGAGAACAAGAGTACAAGAAGTTTAATCTTTCATTGACTATAACAAGTCCTAGCTGTATCCTGCTATATGCAGTTAGATTGTGCCAGAAGAACATACTGTATTAAAGCTAATGAATGTACTAGAACACCTGATTATTTTTTTAGTGCCTCTGTAACTTTGAACAGTCACTAAATGAACTGTTGTAAGTTGAGATCTACCGGTACATACTAAACGAATGGCAAGATAGAAAGAGATGACAGCTGTAATCAAAACTACAAATCCAAAGACTAAAAATTTGAGAAAATACGCTGTAGAAAAAATGAAAGAAAAAAGATCAAGACCTTACAGAAAAGTTCTAAGGTCTGCAAGATGTGCCAGTTATTCCATCCTGGATCAAACAATGCCCAGGGCATGCGGTATAAACCTATAAAGGCTTATCAAAGTACAAAAAAAGAAGACATTATAAAATATAAGAAATTATTTATATCATCAGACCAAAGTCCATCTTGTACATAGTCTTATATCTGATAATAACTAGCTAAGTTAAACATATCTTTCTTTTTTGATCTCAAAATCTGTACTCAAGGGAATATTGTCTGAAAATGAGAAGTAAGTATAATGGATCGATATACTTACTTTCCATTAATTGCACACTGTGTGAGGACACATTTCCCTTTAATTTAAATGTGACTTGCAAAAGTGAACTAACTTTTTCACATTTCCAATATATAAACCTAATATTTTTAAAAACGTTTTTGAATATCGAAATTACAACACTAACCCATATTTGAATAGAACTGATTAAAGCACACACACTTTTTTCAAGTCAGCCTTGACTCTTGATAACTGTCTGGACAAATACATGTAGATTTCTTAGCAATATTTGCAGAAGTTTAACATTGCTTCTTTCTAGGGCTGAGAGAGTGACTGGCTCAAAATCTCCCAGCCAGCTTTGTGCATAGTCTCTACTACACCAAACCGGCTCTCATGTACATACTATTACACGATGTTGTAGTTTGTTTCACCTGTGAATCTTGCTCTATTCAGTTTAGACTCTATCAGGCTATTTATTGTTATTTTTAACAAAATGCATATCATTTTGAATCTCATCTGCCCTTTGCTGTCAAATATTTACCAAAGAAGGAACAAGAGAAACTATTCAATGAAGTCTACCATCTAATTTAAAAAAAACAACAACAAAAAAAACAATGTTCATTATCACAAACTGGTTTTATTGATTAAAAGATAATTGGATCATTAAAAAAAATCAAACTTACCATTCTGTAACTGGCTTGGCAATAGTTTCAAAAATTTCATCTTGTTTTGATTCCTGATCAAATACTTTCTGAAATCTGAAAATTATAAATAATTGGTCATGCAAAATCTTAAAAAAATACTTGATTCATTTCTTTTTTTTTTAGTTTAAAAGTTTACATCATTGGATTTACATAATCCTGGACAATTTTCTCCTGTAGCTTTTTCCTCACTATGTTATTGTGCTACTGAATCCACAAAGGACTTTAAACACTACTGTTTACAAAATGTGTACAATAAAATATTGTGATAAAAATGTTACTGCTTAGAAAAAGCAAACTGTACTTTACTACTGTCATGGGGATCAACATTTCCAAAGGCCCACACATGAGCATGTTTAAGAAACACTAAAATAAAACAGAATATATAAACAGTGCAAACTATTTTCAGTTTTGTTCTCTGGAAGAGAAAAGCAACTATCAAAAGTTTAACAGCAAGTCAAATACTTTAAAAGTCTTGTGCCTTATTTCCATGATTGATGTTTTAGTATCTCTATAAACACTTCTTCTAAATACATGTTTTAACTCTCTCTCTCTGCTCTCCCACCATTAAAAGAACCTATTTTGTTCTAGTGCAAATGACTTAAAAGTATTCTGTTGATCATTACAGTGGACCAAAGAGTCCTGTGCTACATTAAAGACTAACTGATTTTATTTAATCACTAGACACCTGTAGAACCTACTCCACTTCACTGAAAGTGCTGAGAAAAGAATTTTTTATTCAGTTGGGAAGGTGAGAGAGAAGAGGGAAAAAGGAATAGATAGTAATGCTTATATTAAAATTTGTAAAACAAATGAAAATAAAATTTGTAAAACAAATGAAAATAAAATCAAAATTAATTTTTTTTTCCAGGAGGAAAGAATGAGACTTATCTCTCTTCTTTCCTGCCATAGAACCAGATGAAAATAATCCAATTTTCAGTGATAGTAGTAGTGGAATGAGGAGGGGGGAGGAAGGGGGAAAAGAGAATATTAAGGGGAAGGGATCTGAATATACGTGTATCACTGTGGGCTGGAGATACGTGAGTTGGGCAGAACACCCATGTGCAGGTTGTCTCCATATTCCTTCAATTAGAAACTGTAGAAACTGCCATATTCATGGCCACGCAACTATGTATTTTAAGTCAAGGAACTCCTCCTCTGAAATTGAATCTCACCCCCTCTTGGTATACTATGGGTCCTGTTAGTTTTCAAAAAACTGGTGAAAACTTTTTTATTGTTTTTTCAAGCCAGGAAAGCTAGGTTATGATTCCAAATATTGAGTTTATTTTGATTGTTTTTGATCTGTTTAGTATTATAATACACGTGTTGTGTGTGCGTGAAAAAGTAATGTACTTCTGTTTGCTTTTCATCTCAATTACCTATTAGGGAATTATAGTTCATCCATATTTTTACAGACATGTTAAATAAATAACTAAATAATACATACATACATACATACATACATACATACATACATACATACATACATACATACATACATACATACATACATATAAAAAGTTATGCACTAGCTCAGAGGTCCCCAACCTTTTGGGCACCAGGGACTGGTTCCGTAGAGAGAGATTTTTCCATGGACTGGAGATTGCGTGGTTTTGTGTGCCGCCTGCATCCCACGGATGGGGCTTTGCTTGTTTATGTGGCCCAGTTGCTGGCATGCCACGGCCCGGTACCGGTCCATGGACCGGGGATTGGGGACCCCTGCGCTAGCTGGTTAGAAGTTCACTTTTAAGCTACTAATATTGATGCCTCATACTTTAAAATCAGAATTTAATATTAAAACAGACTTCTGCTTTTTCTTTTTTCTTTTTTACTCACCTCCCTTATCCCCAATTTTTTCTGAATGTTTTTACCTTCTCCTCCTCTGTGAGGGAGTGAAATTGGGGTTGTCTGCCCTTTTCAAAAGTAGCTGTACCCATGCAGAAAGCTTTCCCCCCCCTCCTCAGGCATTCATTCATTCCCCATTTCCTTATAACTGTACTCATAGGCATTCAAGCTGGTCTTCCAGCTGCCTGGCTAACTGTGCCACACCCTGGTATTTTCACATACACACTGATTGACGTCCAGAGGCAACCTCGCCCTACCCAGTCTTTTGAGCTTACAAAAGCAAATGTTAAGGCAGAGTGCAAGAGCGGTGCGTGTAGCAGGAAAGGTGACTGCTGGGAAGCAGAGATTGGCAGCTATTATAAGAAGACAAAAAGACTTATCCTAGTGGGATTCCTGCCTGAGTTTTGCTGGGAGCCCAGTAGCAACTAGAAGAACAACCACACTGAAACAGCACCTTATGCCAACTAGCACAAGAATGTTTGGAAAAAGGCAAAGACTGTATGTTACTTTGTAAAGAATTTGAGACTTTAGTTTGAAATGAGTACCGTATTTATCGGCGTATAACACGCACTTTTTCCCCCTGAAAATAGGGGGCAAATGATGTGTGCGTGTTATACGCCGATATACGGCCAGCCCGGGTAAATTCGGCCATATTCTTCAATACGGGCCGGCCCCAGCAGTTCCCCTCTCCTCTTTGTGTGTGTGTGTGTGTTTGTCTCTCTCTCTCTCAATTCTCCC